GACGTTTATGTGTTCGACCTCGCCGAGTCGACCACCAACCCCGAAGTCACCAAGATCGGCGAGGCGGAAGAAGACGTCACCGGCGTCGCAGTCTACACGTCTTCTGCCTCTAATTCTACCGGCCAGGAATACCTCTTTGTCGCCCAGGAGAACGCAGTAGCCGTCTACGAGTACCCCTTCAAGCTCCTCGGAACCATCAAATTGACCGGTTTGGAGGACATTGAGGTCCAGGGTCTCAGCATTTACCAGGGCGCGACCTCTAAGTACCCCAGCGGTGCCCTCGCGTTCGCCATTGAGGCCGACGACGTCGCTGGATTTGGTCTGACGTCTCTGGATGGAGCCCTCACTGAGCTTGGAATCTCGGTAAACAAGGAGTACGACCCACGCACTCAAGTGGGATGCCGGACTCGCTCCAAGATTTGTGACGCGTGCTCCGGTAACGGCTACTGCGAGGAGAACGCCCTTGGCTGCGCGTGCTTTGCTGGATTCACTGGTGACAAGTGCGACGCTTTCCAATGCACAGACAACTGCTCTGGACGCGGCGAATGCGTCGGTCCTAACCAGTGCAAATGCCAGGACGGCTGGGGCGGACTTCACTGCTCTTTCCTCCTTGTGCAGCCCTCGTACGAAACGGACCAGAATGGTGCTGATGGAGATGACCCTGCCATCTGGATCTCTCCTGAGGGAGCTGACAAGTCCCGCATCATCACCACAACCAAGTCGACTCAGGGGGCGGGACTGGGCGTCTTCGATCTGACCGGCAAGCTGCTGCAGACAATCTACGCTGCCGAGCCCAACAATGTAGACATGATCTACAACTTCCAAGCCGGCAACCGCACTGTTGATCTCGCGTTCGCCGCTTGCCGTGACGACGATACCCTCTGGTAAGTTGTTCTTCCACTCTTGATCATGTGCCACCAACTCACATCCGCGTCAGCCTCTTCGAAATGACATCGAACGGCACTCTCAAGAACATCGCTGGTGGCGTCCAACCCGTCGTCGAAGACTACAAAGTCTACGGCTCATGCGTCTACCGCTCCCCCAAGACCGGAAAGCAGTATCTATTCGTCAACGAGAAGTCCGCCCGCTACCTCCAGTACGAGCTGACCTCCACCCCCAACGGCACGCTGCAGACCGCTCTCGTCCGCGACTTCCAGGGCGGCTCGGGAGGCCAAGTCGAAGGCTGCGTCACAGACGAGGAGAACGGCTGGATCTTCCTCGGCGAAGAGCCTTCAGCCCTCTGGCGATATGACGCCGAGCCCGACTCCACGGAGCCCGGACTGCGCATTGCGTACGTAGGCGACGGACACACCTACGCTGACGTCGAGGGCGTCACGCTCGTCTACGGCGTTACGAAAGACCAGGGCTATGTCCTGGTTTCTAACCAAGGCGTGAGCTCGTACAACGTCTACCGCCGCGCTGCTCCCCACGAATACGTCACAACTTTCACGATCACGAAGTCCGCCGACGGACAGGTTGACGCGGTTTCCAACACTGACGGCATCACTGCTATCGGCACCCACCTGAACAAAGACTTCCCCCACGGCCTTGTCGTCGTGCATGACGACGCGAACCAGTTCCCCAACGGGAGCACGAGCACTGAAGCCAGCTTTAAGTTGGTCAGTTTGGAGAAGATTTTGGGGGCTGAGGCGCTCAAATCGCTCAATCTTTTGGATGATGTCGATGCCAACTGGGACCCGAGGAAGATTATCAAGGAATGAGACCATGACATAGCTGAGCGTTTTACATACTAGATCTAATGACAACTAGCCTCATCAAGGCCAGCAAAAGTAGCCGCCATTTGAGGCAGCTTATACAGAACAATCTTATTGCCAAACATTTAGCGCATCAAGGAACGATCGCTTCTGCCATATTTCCTCGGGAGGATAGACGACGATCCGATCGAGATCGGCGCCTTTGTAATCGAAGCCGTTGAAAAGGCCACCAACCGTAATCGTGTTTTTGCCCCTCTGCAGAGGAAGTAAGAGAGGGGTTGACAGAATGATGCCTTTGTGGGTATCCTTCTGATACAGCGTATGCACGGAGCTATTATCCCCATTGACCACGACACTGCTGATGCGGCGGAGTTGCCATGTCCCATTAATGCGATCCGGTTGACCGAATGGCTGATCACCGAAGCCCATGTCATCGGTATCTACATGCATTAGCGATGACTATCATGTGATTACATGGTGGGCTTACTCTGGTGATAGAAAGACACCCATTGATCTCGGCCTTGTCCCTCGACTTCGAAGGTGATGGTGCTGTCGTTGCCATATATACCAGTGGCTATGACATTGTGGCTACCAAGTGTCTGCGTATCATCCGTCAGCGGTGCTCGGCAGCGTCTCTAGCTTGTGGGTATGGCACTCAACTCACAGCTTCTTGCAGATGTGCAAATCCAGTAGTTTTTGCGTATCTGGAGGTGTACGTCTTTCCACGAACTGGTTTCCAAACACCGGTCTTCCTGCATTGAATCGTCAGCTAAGTTTAGAATCACGTCGCGATTTTCTTCGACCCACACATCAAGGTCGTAGACGTCATGCCATACAACCTTGAGACTTCCTGATTTCTCGTCGATTTCAATCGGAAGCCACACATTGCGGCTTTCCCAAAGCGACAGCATGTCCCATTGATCAGCCATGTACAAATATGTAGTCGCCTTGGACCCCTTGATTCTCCAAGAGAACCCAGATTGGGTGCTGAATGTCCGGGTGTACGCCGGTGCCACGAAGAACGGCTGAGACCAGGGTCCTTCTAGCTTGTCAGCGCGCATTGCCACCACATCTAATCATAAGTCAGTTCATCTGGGCCTTCCCAGGTGGACTTGGGACAGTGTTCTCAAGCTGGAGAACACTCACTATTCGGGCGATATCCCGTCTTGTGACTCATCAGTGTAAAGTAACTCTTCTCAGTCTGCAGGATCGTCGGCGCCTCAAAATCATACTTGTCAAACCGAAAGGTGACTTCTTCGACATCTGTCAGGTTCCTGTTGAACTTGCTAACATACACATCACGTCCTTCGGGGCGGTCGCCGTTCGAATAAAGAGCATACGACTCTCCCGTCTTGTAGTCCGTGAACGCCCCAAAGTCTTGCGACCAGTTGCCCAGGGGCGAGATCGCTTTCTGGAAGGTGTACGGTCCGGCGATACTGTCGGAGGTAGCGAGCCCTTGAAGCAGTAGGCTGTACTTGGAGTCGTCGACATGCCACCACATCTGCAAGTGTCAGCTTGTCAGTGGGTCTGTTAAGCTGGATGTTGGCTCTCTCAAGAGCTAGTTTCTTCTCTTACGTGATACTGGCCAGTCTCTTTGCTGAATATGACCTTTGGGCGTTGAATTCGGTTGTGCGAGGAGACGTAGGGATGATCATCCACTGGTGCTATACGAAATATTAGCATTTGGTTGTAATTTCCAATAGGAGAGAGGTGCAATATTTACCAAGCGCGAGGCCATGCGAAGTCCACGTCGCCAAGTCGTCAGAGCTGTACACGGAAACACCACCGCCCTCGACTTGCCCTTCGATTTTGTACTCTCCAAACCAGTAGAACCTGCCAGTCTCTTGGTCGACAGCAAGGCCGCCGGCGTGAGCGTTGAAGATGTTTCCATCTGTGTCATGCCATCGAGCTCCCGGAACGATCCACTTCGCTGTCACCGCTGTGGCGAGCCAGAGAATGTGCAAGAAACGTTGGAGGAACATGGTGACGTTTTGTCAAGAGGCAGGGTAGTGTGATGATGATTGAAGCTTAATATGGAGGGATAATCGCCAGTGCCCACAACCGGCTTGATGCATCGAGACCCAGTCGGCTTATGCTTGAGTATCGTCGGGATTACATTTTCTTTTATGATGTGCATCTTCATCCGGAATCAGTGATTATTTTCCAATGCCATGTTTAGCCTCTTCTCGGTGTTCAACATTGATCTTTGACCGAAGTTCGGCGCAAAGGAAGGAGATCTTTTACGCCAAGCGACTCGGTCATCATGATGATCCTCAATCATTCTTGGCATCGATTTGCTCGGTTTCGGGTTGGTTGGTCGGTTTTCTTCGTAATTATCAATGCTTTTGACGGCGCTAACCATTGTGGACAGACTTGCATACGCCAAGACAAGATGCCATCTTCAGAACTTGCCTAAACATGCCTATGATAGAAAGTTCTAAACCCTGCTCCCCCGCATAACCCCACGACTGTACCTACAAGTCCTTCCGTGGGGGTGAGATTTCGCGGGTAAACTTGATCAATCCTGGATGAGAGAAAACAGGACTCGGTGCAAAGCTGGACGAGGAAACTCTTTTTAGTACTTGATCGCTGTTTCTTGATCCAATCTCCGATGCATTGTCTAGTCCGGACACTCTAGGTTGAAATTATTCCGCGAACCATCTTACATCTGTCGACGGATTAATGTCCGTCAACTCTCTACAGAATGATGACAATCTCCATGTTTGAGTGACGCATAACCACGCATTTCCGTATCTTAGTCGGAATCGTGCTTCAATTGAGAATTCAGATAACTTGCCGTACCACTTAGCCAAGCCTTAAAGGTTGATCAAAGCTGGCTGTGTCAAGCTCCATTTGGGACAGGCCAGAGATCGAATTTGATTGCTTCTCCTTTTGACCGAGTCGCTCTTTGATAACGCGATGAGGTTGTTTTGTAGTCCTTCGTAGCTTTATGAATGCGGATTAAGTGCATCTATGATGGCTAAGCATTGCTTATTGCCATACTGCGTTATATGATTCGTGGGTCTTTCTTGGTTTACATACCCTACTGAGGCTTTGAACGTAGGTAGCGTTGCAGTACACGGATGAAGGGGAGTGATTATCTTGCACTGGCTTTAGTGAAAGCGCATGAGCGCGAGACTAGATGCTGATAGTCCAGTCTTACTGACTTGACGTATTTGGGCAGGAATGCAGGACATCTATAAGTCGATAGTCATGTCCACGGATGCAAAAGAAGTTTGCCATCGTAACTAAAATCAACTCGCCTCATATTCAAACCATCTCATCATGCTCTTTCACAGACTTGTTGGAATCGCAGCAGTTGCATCTGGCTTAGCCAATGCTCTTACGGACCTGGGTCCAGTCAAAGGTCTCAACCGACGACTGGCAAAGTCCACACAATGTGTGGTACCCGCCAACGGTGACGGATCTGATGACACGCCCGCCATCTTGGCCGCATTCGATAAGTGCAAGACTGACGGACACATTGTCTTTGAGAACGTCACGTACCACATTGGTCAGGTCATGAAGACTACTGATCTCAACAACGTCAAGATCGATATCAAAGGGACCCTCTTGGTAAGTGATGTGCTATCAGCGCCGCGTTCTATCATCTGTGTACCTCATGTGATTGACTCGGGATTCAGTGGAGCAAGAACACGACGTATTGGCTAGAGAATTCTCTCCCCATCGGTTACCAAAACCAGACGACAGCCTGGGTTCTGGGTGGAAAGCATCTCGACGTCAACGGCTTTGGCTATGGCACATTTGATGGTAACGGCCAGACTTGGTATGACTTGGTCAAGGGAGAGTCGAACTATCCTAGCAAGTGATCCTCGCCAAGGTGTTGCCCACAAAGCAGTCATCTAACCCGAAGTAGACCGACCTCATGCTCTCTTGCTTGACGGAGCAGAAGATTCCGTCTTCGAGGGTCTTCGGTTTGTCCAAGCTCAAATGTGGTATGTCGCAAACATTTCTCGTCCGCTAAGTTTATTCTCCCATCCATCAGTGATCCAACTCTGAGCGATCTCTCGGTGTAGGACGGTCACAATCACGCGGTCCGCACGCGTTCTCCTTCAAGATATTTACGTCAACAACACAAGTTCCAACAGGAACCCTGCCCGCAATACCGACGGTGCTAATACTATGTTCTCGGACAACATCCACTTCCGTCGCTGGACAGTCAAGAATGGCGATGACTGCATTGCGACCAAGGCCAACTCGACAAACATTCTGATAGAAGACGTCGAATTCCACGATGGCCAGGGCGTGGCAATTGGCAGCATTGGGCAGTATGCGGGCCATTTTGAGATCATCGAGAATGTCACGGTGAGGAACGTGTTGGCCCATGGATCTCGCTATGCTGGTCGCATCAAGACGTGGACTGGTGAGCAGCTTGGATATCCACCAAACGGCGGGGGTGCTGGTTTAGGATGTAAGTCATGCCTTCAGACCATATCGGATTGGGATTGCGCTGACTCCAACTCAGATGCTAAGAATCTCAGTAAGTTAATGCAAAACAAAACAAAGGCCATCGAACTTCGCCTTCGTTCATGAAGTCTGTTACCAAGAGTGTGAAGCTAATCTCTTACCCTTTTAGGCTGGGATAATGTGACCATCTACGACGCGGAAGAGGCTCCCATCTACGTAATGCAATGCATCACCTACAACGAGCAACAGGGAAATTGCAGCTCATCTTTGTTTGAAATCTCCAACATCAGCTTCACCAACTTCCGTGGCTCACTCCAGGGAAGCCGCGTCGCCTACCTTCAATGCAGTCGGGCTCATGGTGGATGTGACGATGTCCGAATCGAGAACATGAACTTCACCAACATCAGTGTTGACCCACCGGCTCCCGCGACAGGATATAGGTGCAGCAACATCAACGATCCGGAAGGGTTTGAGTGCTAAGCTCTTGTGTGGAAGAATGACTATGCGTCTGCAAATGAAATGGAAAGGGGAGTCATGAAGAGGGTTGCTCAGTTGGTCTAACATCAACGTCTACATGTACACACATCAGGAATAGTGCTACTAGTCTTGTTGTGGCTCGTACTCAGCGTCGACATCAACCCAATCAAGATTGATGTTGATCTCATCTCCATCCACGCTATCTTTGCCGCTTCTCTTGAGCTCCTCCCACATGGCCTGTTGAAGGTGCTTTTCGAATCTGAGTTCGCCAAGGACGGATAGATCCAACAGCCGCCCACACGATATCATGGCCATGAAACCTTTTTTAGCCTGTGCGGCCACGATCGGGTCATGATGGCGGCCAATCTCTTGGAACCGACGCCGCCAGTAGAGCCATCTCGACTGAGAAAATCTAACCTCGTGTATGCCCGCTTTCTGGGCCGAGGCTGGGCCATCCTCCTCCGGAGAATGTGTTCCCTGCAATCTCATCAACCGCAAAGAGAACAGCTTGAAGGCACAATTTTGCACCAGAATGGCGGCAGAAGGAAGGTAGACCAAGCTATCGGTATCTTCTTCAGTCTCGAGAGCGTTCCGCATAACCCATTGAGCAGTTCGCTCAATATCGTCGCTCACTCCAATCGCAAAGCACTTGGCCGAAAACATCGCCAAGTTGCACATTTTGGAAACATTTTTGTGCGTCGAGAGCCGTTCCCAAGATGATTGCAATTCCCTAGCAAAGCCATACTCTTCCCAAGATCCATTAGCAACCTCATTTGGATGAAGTTGTCTGTAAAGAGAGTCGTACTCTTTGGTCCATAGCAGAAGGAAGACAAGGCTATCCTGGAATGAGTCTTCCGGCTGAAGATTCTGAGCAGTAATACAGAACATGTGCCAGAGACTATTCAGCCCTTCTTCATATTCGGAAGCTTGACGAGCGGCATCCTTGATGAACTTGAGGGCAAAGCTCTGGATGGAGACCAGCTGGTCGATTTTGTCCGTTTCTGTTGCCAGATTCTGTGCATCTGCCTCGAAAGACTGGGTGACTTGATGCCTGAAGTCGGCAGCACCAGCCTTTTCGGATGGGGAGGTCGAAGCCGACATAGTACGACACTACTGACCGACTAATGTGGGTATGAGCTGAATGACGACCCCGAAGGATTGAAGAGTTTTAAGTGAGTTGTAGATTCATCGCAGAAGCAAGTCAGGCTTTTATAAGATTTCTTCATGGCAGAGCCTCAGAAGGTTCAGGTGATGGTGAGACGTAAGCCGACTGCACTGTGAGTGGCCATCGGTCACCTGATCTAGGCAGCTACTCCAGGCAGCTATTTCGGGGTACGTACCTGATATTGGAGAGATGTTCAAGTATACGCGGCGATTTTGTTTTCATGTTTTCATGTTTGATTGTGGCTTTCTGTAATTATCATCATTGGGTTTGAGTATTTCAAAATCAACTGAGGGCATCATGGGGTCCATCCCTGGGACTGACGCGCGGAGTCGTTGACTGTTTTGGCCAATCAGCAACGAAAACCGCATCCACTAAATTCCATTTTAGGCAGCGCATGCATGCATATTGTCATCCTCTAGCAGCCTCTAAGGCAGTGTGATATGATGGCCTAATTGTAGCGGGCTCATGGGGGCGTTGTAATTTATACAGGCGATGAAGCTTCTTCATCGCTTCTTGGTTCATCGAAACACAGGGCATCAACTTCGTTCGTGATATTTCATGATCAGTCGAGCTGACGTTCGGCTAGCTTGCATAAAGTAGTGTTTACTTTGTGAGGTTCTGATGTATGTAAAACCTCGTCTATATGTACATCGAAAGGGATTCTATCCAGTTATCGCTCCCATGTTCCAACCCTTGGGTATGTCTATGTGATGAAAGCAGAGATCTATAAAACTTGAACAAAACGAGAAATCTTGTCATGGGATCAAAGAAGATCGTCTAGGCCGAAGCCTTGATGATGTCCGAAGCCTTCTCGGCAATGGCATAGAGAGTGGACACAAGGTGACCACAAACCTGGAAAGGAAGGACACCGGCATCGACGACGCGGACGTTGCTGGTGCCGTAGACCTTGAGGTTGGCATCGACAACACCGCCCAGCTCCTCGGACATCATGGCAGTGGTACCGACGGGGTGGAAGTTGGAGCGGTCTGTGTTTATGATGGTTAGCACACATGTTCAAATTGTCAGGTAGTTGGGCAAACTTACAGTTCTCAAGGATCCACTTGGACCAAACATCGTCAGAGGCGTCCTCGGCGATGGTGGCCAAACCAGGCTTGGTCTCGCTGGCGAAGTACTGGCTCAGAGGAGCAGTCTTGTACAGCTGGCGGATGAACTTGGCAGTGCCGATCTGCTCGGTCATATCCCAGTCCATCATGAAGTAGTTGGGGTTGATCTTGGCAGTAGAGGAGTTGGCGCCGGTAACGTGGATGTTGCCGCGAGCGAAGGGTAGGAGGGCCCAGTACTCGGTGGAGAAGGAAGAACCAGCAGGGGTGATGAGGATCTCAGCGAGGGGGACCTTGTCGGTGAAGATGAGGTCGTACTGAATATCGAAGAACTTGTCGAGCTGCTCCTTGGTGACGACGCCGTTGGTGTACTCGGAGACCTGGGCGGCCCACTGGGAGAGCTGGGTCTTGATGTTGGCGGCGAGAGAAGCGGTCTGGTTCGCGAAGACGTCGTCGACGTTGGGATAGGCAACGAAGGTGGTGACACCGGTGAAGTTCTTGGAGCTGGTCTGGGCGAGGCCGTTGTTCATCTGGTCCTGGAGGTTCTCGCCGACGGTGGGGAGGTTGACCTTGGTCTGGATGCCGGCGGCCTTCAGAATCTCGGGGTTTCCAACACCAGACTGCTCCAGGAGGAGAGGAGATCTGAGAGAGCCAGCAGAGAGAATGACCTCCTTGTTGGCATAGACGGTGTGGGTAGCACCGGTCTTGTCCTTGACGAGAACTCCGGAGGCGGTAGCCTCAGCTCCCTCAGCCCAGACGAGCTTCTGAGCCTCGGTGTTCAAGAAGACGCGGAAGTTGGTGCGGTTCTGGTAGGGGAAGTAGTACGCGCGGGCAGCATCGTCGCGAACCTGGAGAGCAGTGTCGAGAGTGGCGGGGTAGATGTTCCAGCCGACCATGTCTCCGCCAGCAATGTCCTTCAGGGCAGGGACGCCGACGGCATTGTAGGTCTGGTTCAAGACGTCGACGAACGACTTCTCAACACCGCCGGACTTCCAGCCGACCTTGAGAGGACCAGAGGTACCATGCTGCTCAGGGATGTAGGTGACGCCATCGTCAGCCTGGACAGTGGTGGGGGGCTGGAGAGTCTCGGACTTCTTGTAGTACTTGAGGAGGTTGTTCCAGTTCCAGCCGTCGTTGCCAAGACGCTCCCAGATGTCGATCTGAACATCCTGAGCACGGGTGTAAGCCATGCCATTGATGGTGCTGGTACCGCCGAGAGCTTTGCCGGCACGGAGGGTCTGGGTCTTGTTGCCGCCATACTTCTGAGCAGTAGTCTGGTAGGCGTAGTCGATGTCGGTGCCGAAGGCCAATCCGTAGCCAGAGGGGCTGGTAACGTTGACGTTATCGTAGACAGAGTCACCAGCCTCAATGACAGCGACGGTGACATTCTTCAACTCGGAAAGACGGTTGGCAACGACCAGACCGCTGGTACCACCACCGATAATGACATAGTCGAAGCGCTGAGATGATGCAGCAGGGTAGGCGAGCGCGGTGGCCGCAAGAAGCGGGAGGGAGACAATGGAGCGCAGCATGTTGAAAGTTGAAGTCGGATGCGGTGCGATGCTGAGGTGGGAATAGAAACGACACGTGGTGACGATCCCTTGAGTTTATATCTAGCTCCCGCCTGGCTCAACGGCTGGCTAGCTGGGTCCCATGTTCACCGCGCGGTAGAATCAACTTATGTCATGCTTAGAAAGTCTTCCAAATTTCCATCCAGGTCGCTGTAGCTGAGTTGATCCGCTCTCTCCACCGACTGGTGGGCATTTTCTGGATCTCGGCGCTCGCGCGTAAATCCGCAGAGCTGTCTAAGTCCAGACTCCCGGAACCAGCCAAACCTCAAGTGTGGTCTTGGTAGATAAACAAGGGGGCCGCTACGCGAACTCCGAGTGACGTATGATGTTCTGTGAAGATATGACGAAATCTCCCTATTTTTTCTTCTTTTTTGTGCTGATGCGACTCTGCAATGGCGAAAACGAGCCTCTCGCGAGTCAGCGTTTTTTTTTTTCCTTGAACATTCGCCCACATAACGGCAGCGGCGAGAAACAAGAATTTGGGATCCACTGTTGTTTTTCCTTACAAGTGGGTCTTTGAAATGCTTAGCAAAAGATTGCCGACATGATCAGGGCAACCCAACTCCACAACTCCATGCTCGGCTTCTTCGGACGGTCACTAATGCATTATTCAGACTAGATACGCGGATGGTGCCTTATCATATTGTCTCAGTTATACACGTGGGAGGCACTTCTGCCCTGCAGGGACGTTCAAGAGACAACATCGGAGTTCGTCTGAATACGACTCGGCGCCCCTGGCTGTCCTTTTTACGGCGGGCGCTGAGACAGCGCTCACGACCATTAATTTCCATATCAGGAAGGAAGTTATCGTCCAAGCCCTGTTTCCTCTTGGGAAATCCAAGTCAATATCTAGTAGTACTGGCTACTCGAGTAGCTGATGTTCACCAATTTCCAGGTTATCTATCTCGATGGGATCTTAGGAATGACCCTAGATGTAATGATTACTGCGACTGTTATAATTCCGACTGCCTCAATGCAATAAGTGGGCAAATGGCCTAGAGAATACTACCGAAGAAATTCAACGTCTACGTTCCCACGGCTACAAACCACTAGAGTATGGGCCAAAGCATCCGGGTTGGTTTCGACTTTATCTCGGAACCTGACGGCATCGGGGAGGAACGACAACCTAGGACTATCCCCGAAACGCCCCTCAACTTGGCTGACACAATGGGATGAACATTTCAGCCAACAGTTCAGCAGTTCAATACCCATGCAGGAGGTTCAAATACCTTGTCCCCGGTCGTGCAAACGCTCTCGCGCGCGGTTGTCAGCTTCCGCCGCGATAGCGCCGGAAGGGCCACCGGGACGGCAGTGGGGCTATCGGCCCGGTTGAGGGATTTCAGGGATCTCGTAGAATTCTGCACAGGGCCGAGACCAATGCTGGCCACCGTCCTCCCGTTGCATGCGGCTTTAATGTTAAATCCTTAACTTTTGGCGAACCCCGTCTGAGCACATAGTCAATCTCACTGCAACATGGAGCGGCAGACACCAACGACGCGGTAAAGATCATCTCGCATGCTGGATCTTATTGAGCGTGGTATTTCTCGGAGACCGAGCTTATACATGATATTTTGTGAAGAGCTTCGTTGACTTGATGCTCTGAACGTTCCGACTTGTGATAAATGTCGCCATGGGGGTCTCCGAATGCGTGCGGCGATCCGTAGGTTGTCATTTGTTTTTGCAGGGGAGCTGAGTATTGCGCCCCTAGAGGCTAGGTCCCGGTCGATCGGCTGGACAAGTTCCTAGCGTCCCCACAATATAAATGAAGGAAGTTTTCAATCCAGGGACGGAACCTGAAAATGGACAGGGCTGTGTTCCCAGGTTCAGACAGGTCAGATGCTCAATAGGGGCATATTTATCGCATCTTATCAGATCAAATGACGTAGCTTCCTCGACTTCTCCCAACTGATGAGATTAACGGTGCGTACTGGCAATTGTGAACGCTATGTTCACGAGTTCAATTATCGTCGTTGTTACGTGATTTCAATCAAAATAGCACAGTAGCATTCGTGGGTAATGATCGCTCGCAATCGCGAATTTTCCGATGAACGTTCATTGCGGTTTCACGCAGTTCGGAACTACAGGGTTATGCGGTTGTTTCTTGTGCAAGTCTGCGCGGGCGGCCTCGATACTCCACGCTAGATGTTTGTGCTTTCAATAGCTGACAAGCCAGATATATCTATCTCAATGCCCAGTTCATCTTGCAATCCGCGTTCAATTAGTTGAGTTTTAGGAGGGTTCGGAGGCTCACTTACATAACGACACTCCTTTATCTTCCCGTTGGCTTTCTCGAAAGCCCGGCAGACCTGGTTCTGAGTCAAAATCTCGTCGTATATATGGACTGTCCTGCTGACAGTTCCATCGTCGGTAATGATTCTAACGGCATATTGACTAATACCACGAATTACAGCCAGTGCTATGGGCGTATTCCCATCAGCATCCATAACGGTTCTAGTAAAGTCCGAAGGCATACCATAGTCGACTCAGCCGGATGGAAGGCACAGAAATGCAATCTGTATCCACCATCCGGTATTGATGTACGCATACGGAAGGCAGATCGTGACGATGCGGCCGATCACGTCTGCTTACTGTTTCCAGTCGACAACGCATCCATAAAACCTGCTGGCTGTAGTCTAAATTACCTGTTACGCAGGTCAACCACGCCCCGGGACGGAATCGCAACCATCAAAGGCTTAAAGACGACCAGAAAACGCGTTTCACACCAGCTACGTTAGCTGCATTCGCAAGGGAAGTTTCGTCTGGAAGACTACCAAATGATGAGGCAGAGACAACAAGATATATCCTCGCAAGGGGTTTTACGATGTTATGCTGAGACGCCTTCAGATCTACTGGGATGATTATGATACCGCGCTCTTGAACCTTCGTGTATGCCAACTTCTGCCATCACTGTGGTCGAGCTGAAAAAAAAGTTTCTTCCTAGCCCAACCGACTATTCAAGTTCCATAGTAAAGGAATCGTCTTCGCTTGCGAAGCGACTGTTGCGCTACCAACGAAATTGTCCTCAGTTGACATCAAAAGTCATCCAGCACTGGACTGCCAGTCTCAACAGTGGCACCGGCAACCGCTAGTCGTATCTGCTATGCGCATTGCTAGGAACCCTTTTCAAATGTCGTTGATGCTCAAAACGATAGAATAGAGGCAAGAGGGCGTAACGAAAAGTTTGAAGTCGAAATGACTTGAATACCCAAGCTAGCTTCCAGATCATCCCAGCACAACTTAATGATAACAAACCCAGCGTTCAATGGAGAAGCTTTCCAATCGATCAAACGCCTCACTACCCAGTACCACATGGCCCAGAGGTGCCAAAATACATAGGAGCAGGAATGGAAGGAAGCAAGTTCTCTGCGCTCTGATTCTAAACGGAAATCCATCATCCTTGTGCAAAATTAGCGGTTGTCCACCATTCGCAGCCGCGACGGCGATCTATACGACCTTTTATCGGACTGAACAGCTTTTCATCATCTTACAACTTACAAATACGTGAGTCGTCTTATGGCACCGATAACATGCCGAGTAATGGGCTTATCCTGCGAAAGAACATATGATACAGCGGGATATGTATTCCGCCTCGATCCGTGAGGTAGATTGGGCTGATACGGATGTCACCGTAAGGTGGGGTATCGAGCGGAAGGCATTTCGCGCCTTGCTCCGGCCATCGGACTTTCCTATCTCAACATTCAAAGGCAAGTGTGATCACGAGCCATGTGGAATAAGACGGTGTTTCTGAGGTGACCGCCATCACCCGCATTGATCTCATTGACATAAACACCTGCTCTCGTTGAGTACATGCGGAACAGTTCTCAGACAAACACAATCGCGATCAAGTCACTTTAACCGACCATGACGTTAAAAATCGAGCAAATACTGTCGCAGCTAAGCGTTGAGGAAAAGATTAGCCTTCTGGCAGGAAAGTCTACCTGGCGTAGTGCTGAAGTGGAACGGCTTGGTATTCCTAACATCAAGGTACGGTCATTTTGAATATCAATCTTCAAACCATGGGCTAACATACCTTTCCGTAGGTCTCTGACGGACCATCAGGTGCTAGGGGAGAGATATTTGGTGAAGGAGTTCCAGCAGCCTTCTTGCCATCTGGTGTGAGTCTGGGTGCAACTTGGGATGTGGAGCTTCTCAGGCAAATGGGCGAGCTGCTCGCAGAAGAGGTGTGGATGTTTTCCTACTATTCATGCGGATTATCAAGCTAACTATTGCCTCCCACAGACCAAGTCGAAGTCTGCCTCGGTCTTACTTAGTCCCACGATATGTTTACATCGCAATCCCTTAGGAGGCCGAAACTTCGAAGCCTACAGCGAAGATCCATTCTTGACTGGAAGGTTGGGTACAGCACTTGTGAATGGTTTGCAGTCGAGAGGCGTCGGGGCTACTCCAAAGCATTTTGTTGCTAATTATGGCCCACACTCTGCTAAAAGCCTAACTGACAGATCGCTTCAGGTAACGATCAAGAGATCGACAGGTTTCACGGCAACCGCATCATCCCAACGCGGGCTCTACGCGAAGTCTACCTCAAACCTTTCCAGATGGTCGTACGGGATGCAGATCCATGGTGTATGATGTCGGCCTACAACAAGCTGAATGGCCACCATTGCGATTCATCATACGAAGTAATCACTGAGATTGCCCGTCGCGAGTGGGGTTGGGAAGGTGTATTCATGAGTGACTGGGGTGGAACAAACTCGATTGGTCCGTCCATCAACGCTGGGCTTGACTTGGAGATGCCGGGCCCCCCTGCCAAGCGTACCCAAAACGATGTTATGGCTCTTCTGTCGAATGGAGAAGTGAGCATGAATACCATCGACGACTCGGTCAGACGTTTGTTGCGGCTTATAGAAAAGGCTGGCAGGTTCGAAGATCCCTCCGGCCATCAAGAGATCTGTTTGAATACGCCCGAACAATCCCTAAAGCTCAGACACGCTGCTAGGTCTGGGATCGTCATGTTGAAGAATGAGAATCAAGCGCTGCCGCTCCGGCCTTCGGAGAATATCACGAAGGTTGCCGTTGTGGGCCCGAATGCGAAGAGAGTTGTGGCGGGCGGCGGCGGAAGTGCTTACATCAAGGCACCCTATTGGACGTCAGTATTCGACTCTCTGTCCACAAAATTTGACAACAAAAAGACGACCATTATACACGCTGTCGGTGCCAAAGTCAACAGGTACCTCCCAACGGCATCCTCTCATATTTGTCGGGATCCAGACACCGACCAAGGAGGAGGGGCTGTGGACTGGTTCGTTGGCCATGATCATACTTCGAGGCCAGTGGCAACAACTCACATGTAAGTGCCTGCTGAACTTGACCTGAGAACTGCGGACTAACGGTCTCTCTCATTGATGATCTCTACTACATTTCTTTCGGCGACAGTCCTCCAGAAATCACTGCGGAGGTCAACTTTTGCTATCGCGTCAGAACGATTCTCACCCCGAAGACCAGCGGCATTCACCGTCTTTCTCTTGCGAGTATCGGAAAAGCAACATTTTTCATCAATGAGGAGGTCGCCACCGAAGCGGGGGATTTGAACGAGAGCGCCACGCTCTTTTTTACCTATGGATCAAATGAGACGGTGTTTAGCAAAGAGCTTGTTGCGGGTCGCGAGTATTCTGTTCGCATAGAAGGCCACTCTCACGACAGACAACTTCACGCCGACCTCATCCCTCGGATGAGACCCATGGAAGACAAATTTCAAGGAGTTCGTTTCGGCTACGAGGAGCATGATGAAACTGATCTCCCAACAGAGGCAGGCGATGTCTGCAATGGATGCGATGCAGCGGTTGTAGTAGTTGGAAGGGACAAAGAATGGGAGACCGAGGGCCAGGAGATTCCGCATTGGGAGCTCCCAGGCGATCAGACCAAGCTCATAGAGGAGGTTTCTCGCGTCTGTTCACGCACGATCGTTGTCATTCAGGCGGGAACGCCAGTCAAGATGGAGCCGTGGATCCACAAAGTTGATTCTGTGCTCTACACTTGGTACCAAGGACAAGAGCTGGGGAATGCGGCAGCAGATGTCATCTGTGGTGACTTCAATCCTTCTGGCAGACTTCCGGTCACGTTTCCTCGCAGCATTGAGCACGCTCCTGGAGTGGCCGCACCACAGGAACCCGGAGCCGATACTTCATGTCTTTACGCCGAGGGAATTCATGCCGGACACCGCTGGTGGGACTTTCTTGGCATATTGCCGCTCTTTCCACTCGGCTTTGGTCTTTCGTATAGCGTCTTCGAAATCTCTGAAGCGAAGCTTTCAGACCAAACATGGGAGTTGGGAAACGCGGCCAAGGTCCTTTGTCGAGTGACCAATCTCGGGGGAAATGAGTTACCCGGGCGCCATACTGTCCTCGCGTTCTTTTCTGCTACGTCTAACAAGAGATTGAGTCGACCGAAGAAACAACTTTGCGGCTTCGACAAGACACCCGAAATTGGAGCAGTGGAGTCCTGCTTTGTCGAGATTCCGATTGACCTGCATGAGTTCGGAGCTTTTGACCCTGAATCGAAGAAATGGGTCATCGACGCTAGATCAACCTTCAAGATTTTTGTCGGACCCAACGCAGCTGACTTGGTGCCAGTTGGGGAAGTCACAGTGGATAATGAGATTTCATGGGTTCACAAGATGTGACGGCGCGAAGCCTGATGGTAGGAAAGAAAGGACTTTTTAAACAGCTCAAACGAGATAGGTTTTTGTTTTCTTTTAGCTTCTCTTTTTAGCTTAGACCGACGATAGTAAATACAATGATGATTTATTAAGAGTTTGAAATGCAGAATGAAATCTTCCACTATTACATTTGCCGTACTAAACATCCGATTCCTATAATTAGTTCACGTTCTGTGTCTGTCTCTCTCGAGCGTCACTTACTCGGTGCGCATTAACCAATTCTCTACGATTTCCCTATCAACAAGGGGGAGGTCGTGGAGGACATTGTTTTTCGGGGGTGGCCAAACCCATGCCGACACATTATATTACGCCATCAGATATGTCATTAAGATTGCAAAACCTATGTGACGGAATGCATATTCCGCCCTACAACTGTCTTGCACCGACCGGGATCGGAGTCGTGATGGCCGGCTTCTCGCCAAAACGACTGGCCGTGCCCGAAAAAGACATGAAAATGAAGCACATCACTTATATACATGCGTATTGCATGTACGCCTGAGTCTGGGTGCAACAACGAGCCAAGCTCGAGCTCTCCTCAACCCTCCCAGCAATGTCCTCTCAAAGCCGGCACTTTTTCGTGGACACACCGATTGGTTACATTACGAGATGCGTCACAAAAGGTCGTTGGCTCAAGTTTCCAGAAGATGATGATGGCTATCAAATACCGAGCTTTGACGAACCTATCACGACACACCGCGAACATTCTAGAGATGATGCAATTCTTGTAGGCTGGTATGGACCGGATGACAACGCAAATCCTCACAATTGGTCGACCACCAAGAAGGCCTACGTCTATTTTGTCATCAACTACGCCAATGCTGCAGTATATCTGTCATCTTCAATATTCGCGGCTTCTCAAGAGGGTGTTATGGCTGAATTTCACGAGTCTCATACGATTGCGAGTCTCGGACTCGCCCTCTTCGTTCTCGGCTACGGATTCGGTCCGCTGATTTTCTCACCCCTGGCCGATGTCGCGAGAATTGGACGGAATCCTCCGTACCTTGTGGCAACTGCAGTATACCTTGTTATCTCTATTTTGGCGGCTTCGGTGGGCAATGTCGAGGGATTGATGGTTCTCCGATTTCTTCAGGGTTTCTTTGGGGCTCCGATGCTGACATCGGGAGGTGCATCTCTATCAGACATCAGCTCAGAGAACATGCGTCCACTGGCACTTTACACTTGGACTTGTTCTGGTTTCGCAGCGGCATCTTTGGCACCAGTCATATACGGTTTTGCGGTGCCAGTAATGGGCTGGCGATGGGCACTCTGGGAGCTCGTTTTAGCCAATGCGCCTGTCATCTTCTTATTAGTAAGTTTCACATTATCTCTGTCTGCAGATCGATATTGATCAAGAACCTTGCTTCAGTTGTTTCTTCCCGAGACGTCAGCATCGAACATCCTGTATGCCCGCGCGCAGAGGCTCAGTAGAATCGACTCCAGTCGCGACTACCGACTTATGGAGACGAAACGTACCAAGTCCACCCGGGACCTTCTATTACGCTCTCTTGTGGTCCCGTGGCAGATGCATCTTCTCGATCCATCCATCATGTTTACAAGTGTCTATGCTGGTTGTGTATATGGCATATACTACTCGTTCTTTGAAATCCTGCCCACTGTATACGAAGGGCTCTACGGTTTCAGCATGGGACAGACTGGGTTGGTTTATCTGTCCATTGTTATTGCCGTCGTGACGATTGGTATTCCGTACTGCTTCTATACGCACTACTGGGCAACGCCAGCCGTCATAAGTGGAGGCCAGATAGCGCCAGAGAAGAGACTGATACCTGCGGTTCTCGCATCTCTACTCGTACCTCTCGGCATGTTCATTTTTGCTTGGACGTCGAGAGAAGATACTCACTGGATGGCACCTGCAATCGGGGTTGCATTGACAGCCGCTGGTTTAGTAATCATTCTGCAGTGCATCTTTGTCTACATCTCACTCGGGTATCCAGACTATGCCGCTTCAGCTTTTGCAGGGAATGGCTTCGTTCGCTGTCTGATCCCAACGGGTGCATTGCTCTGGTCTACGCCCTTGTATGATAGACTTGGGGTTGCGGGAGGCTCGACTTTGTTGGGCGGCCTCTGCATTTTGGGTGTGGTGGGCATGGTGGTCCTTTACAAATGGGGCGGTGAACTGAGAAAAAGGGGTAGGTTCGCAAGGTAGATTTATTAACACAAGTCTCCTGGGAGGATATTGGGTCTTATTTCGGTAGCGAATTCATCAGCGATATTTGAGGAAACATGGCCTTTGCTAACACGCAATCTAAAGCCGCGATTTAAGGTTTTGCGATTGCCATCGTCCCACTAATCTGTACATGCGCAGAGTCTTAATGGATGCCCGACACAGAAGAGGTTTGGATCAAAATGAGGATGTTAACTGCTTATGCTATCTATTCGCGTTGCGTTTTCTAATCCAACAAACTGGATTTTCTCAGAGCTACTAGGTCTATGGAACCCAAGCCCTCCATGGCATGGTGTGTGCGTCAGCTGGCCACTCTCAGTCCGGTCAGAACTTGCGTGCCGGTGTACGAAGCTCAAACAAGCGATCGAGCTGAGCAAAAGTCTTGCCTTTCGTCTCCGGAACAACAAAAAAGGCCATGACGGTTAGAACACAAGCAGGGCCCAAGAACACAACTCCCGCCTTGGGGCCGAGATCGGCCTCTTCCTCATTGATGAGATAGGGAATGGCCACCGCCCATGCCAGGTTGCACACCGCATTCGTAATGGTTGCAATCGATGTGGTCTTGGCTCTCAACCGAACAGACGGGATCTCACCAACAAGTGTCCATCCGATGGCGCCCAAGGAAATGTAGTACAGAATGGTCCAAACGATAGAAAAGGCTGCCAGCGCCCGCCCATTGGCTAGGGTACCGCGACCGACCCAGCCTAGAATGGTGATGGCCAGCAAGCAGGGAATCATACCCGAAAGACCCAGCAGTAATTGTGGACGTCGTCCAATCTTCTCCACCAGAGAGAAAGAAAGAAGGACAGCGAAAATTGAAAGGACGTTCGCAATCACTGTGACAAGGAAGGCGTCCTCCAGGCCAGCTAGTGCCAAGAAGTATGTAAGGTAGTTGCCGCAGAGAGGCCATCCTGATTTGAACGAGTTAGTTAGAGAGCCAGTGTACTGGAGAGGAAAGGGGGACCAACCTGAAAATTGTTGCATGACCATGGGTAAACAGGCAAGCAGGGTTCGCCGCAAGTCCACCCCTCTGAAGCAGTCCATAAAAGACACTTCTGCTCCGCTTGTTGACTTCTCGTGCTCGATGGTTCGCATGATGAGATCAACATCAGCTTCAACAATGTACCCAGGCTCCTTGCCACGAAGGCTACAGAGAACCATTTTGACCTTTTCGGTCTCACCCTTTCCTGCGAGGTAGTAGGGTGACTCCGGCGTTAGGAATGTGAAAAGCGACAAGCTGATCAAGCCAATGCCAAACTGGGAGACAACATCTGCTTTCCATGACCAGGTGCCAGAGATTCTGGACGTGCCCTCCAGAACACACGAGGATAGAAACACCCCGATTATGAGCCAGAACTGGAATAGAGCCAGCATGAAACCACGAATCCGAACATGGGCTATTTCAGCCACGTATGTTTGCGTGTTTCCCTGCATGAATCCCATGGCAAATCCGAAGATAACCTTTGCAACGGACCAAACACCCCAATTGGGAGCCACAAGCTCGACGACCGTACCGATGATCAATAACCTGGAGTTATCCACCATTGGTATCTAAACGTTTGCAGAGAGCTGGTGGATACTTACGCAATGTTGATGAAGACGCAAATGCGACGGCCGAAGCGATCGCTGGCTGTCCCCACGATAACTGCGCCCAGCATTGCAGAACAGAACTGGCAAATAGTCCACGCCAACTGTCGATCTGCCGGAAGTGTCCAAACTTGGTGTTCCTTATTGAAGACCCCAAATTGTTTAACGAACTCCTTATTAGCAATGATTGACCCAATGAGGTTCATGTCGTATCCAATAACGATGGCGACGGAAGCACAAGCGAAACAAGCGAGTGCATTCCGGTATGACTGCTTCAGCTCGGCAAACTGTCGACTCCAAGACAATTGCTCTTGAATTTCTTCTCTGACGTTGCCGTCTTCGACTAAATCGTCCACAAAGTCTGCTTTGTCTTGCTTCATGGTTGCTGAAGTCATTGTTACCTTTGTCACAATGTCCGCTGGTCTAGTCAAAATACAAAGAAGAATGTTGCGAAACAGTGAAGAATCAGGGTTATCTAGAACACCAGAATGAGGTCTCAAGTACAATTCCAATCTCTTATATACAATCTTGACCATGGATCCCATTTGGTCTTATCAGACTGCAGTATGATATGGTTTGAGTGGCACACTCCCGACTTTACCCCGGATTTCTTATCAGTCCCAGTCTGACCCCAAATAAGGCTAATGTTTCGGCACAGTCTCCAGTCGAACCCCAGTCTCAACGTGTGCGGAATTTATGTTCCGCCCTGTCTACAATGCATGCGATCCAGATACACATCTTCGTGCATGTATTGTGCACGCATAGTATCTGGCAATGAGAGACGGCTCGAGCACCCTATGTGGCATAGCATAGCTGTCGAACTAAATCAAGTGAGGTGACGAGTGGTCACATTAGCTATCTCCGATCGAGGACCGGCTCAAGTGGGGGCAGGTATCGTCCGACAGGCATATATTTCATTGCCAAGTATCAGGGGGAGGAAAATATATTCCTATTGTGAGACGATTCTTTGGGAATGGGCCGAAAGCGACTGTCAAGGTAACTCTAGGCGGCCATAGAGGGATAGATATCAATACCTTGATTGAGACTGGATTAAAGTAAAGGGATGGTGTAGAGGCCCGGAGCCTACCGTCATCTTTTCGGTGGAATGCAGACGTATAGCTCAGTGTGCTTGTATTTGTATGTTATGCCGTAGAAGTCAATAAGTCTTTGTCTTTGGGGGATAGTGCAAGAATCTATCAACTCAGGCAGCATTTAAACAGGCTGCGTGGGTTTTCGTGCAATTGGTATTGTTATTAAAAGTATCTACACGCATTTGAAGTCGGATCCATGATCAGGTGCGTATGTGGCAGTCAATGATGCCAGCTTATTGAAACATCAAGTAACCCATCTTCTATAGCGTATGATCGATTGTCTGAATTGCGCTTCTTAGATGTAAATTATTTACAAGACCTTAGTCTCCAACCTCAATCCGTGGAGCCTTTGATCATAGGTAGGTCCAAAGACAACCTGCTAGACGTCACCACTTCCGGAGGCCCTCATTCATGATTCCCTGCTCTTCATCGCCTGTATGTGTCGAGCCTGAACGGCTCACCATAATAATCGGGCAACATGCACGCCGAGTGCGGTGACAGCGCAAAGCAACTGACTGCTTGGGGCCTTGCAGGTTCGCTTGCGAGGCAGAATAGTCGCTTGTACCCCCCATTGTTGGTGATGTTCAGAGCCGGGCGGATGAGAGTCATACTTCCAGGCGGAACAGTCGCAGTGTATGTGTTGGTTGTTGCGTCAAAGTTCACAGTGGTACTGTGCTCCCTGTCTGATTCCGTGGAGATCGAGCTGGATATGCAACTATCTGTCTGGGCGGTGACTGCCGGAAGGAGATAGAACAAGACGTTTGTGATTGAGAGAGGAGTGAACCGCATCTTTTATTGAGATTAAGGTGTTTGATGGGATGAAAAGGCATGAGAAAGCAACCGAGTGATGCGAAGATACAGTCCTCTAGCCACCTTTAAATACAATTTGGAATACAGAAAATCAGTTAGCTCACTGCCCGACTCAATGTTCACCGGGGGCCCCTGCTACCTCTGTCAGAATACATCGCGCAGGGTGAGCGAGTGGATGATTCTTGGCAGCTCTTATTTGACACAGAACCGGTGCTTCGAGTCAGGACATGGTGAACGATGCAGCTGGCAGCTTTGCGCGTAAGGAACGACTTGCTTCAATTCTCACGGGTCATCAATTAAGACACGAGTGCACCATTCATGTAGAAATTGAACCCCCCTACAGTCCTTCTGGCTAAGTGTCAGTTATACACGCGGGAGGCGATTGACTGGAGGACGCTCAATTTGAGGAGCGGGAACAGTGTACAGTAGATTTATAGATATGTAGGCTTGCCCTACACGACGTATGCCCTAGGGAGCGATCTGAGCTTAGCTCTGACGTCGAAAAATAGAACAACAACAACAACAACAACAACAAGTGTCAGTTAACTGATCCGACTTACCCGGAGGCAGGCTACCTGTTAACGGCAGATTATTAGCCGCTGGGACCCTCACGCCTCTACAAAGCCGCATGGATAAATGATACCTATCTCAGCAGATGCATGCCAGCAAACAGGCCCTGTATTGCTGAACAGGGCTGTGTGCCTCGTCGTGAAGATCATGAGACTTCCCGACTAATTTCCGCCCATGGCATCAATATCGCGGGACAAAAGTCAACCCAGAACGTGTTATTCATTCCGCCCGCATCTGAGGTTTCGCGGGTTAAAGTAAAAGTGAGCTAAATTTGGACGTGCTCCGCCATGGTATTGGTCGACTTCCGTGAGTCATTGACTATCCGTAGAAGTCTTAATTTATTATTCAAGCTCTAGACATGACGAGTAACCTAGCTCTTCATTTTGGTGTTTCTATTTAATAATATGCCAACAGACATGTGCCTACGATTCTCTCGTCTTCCTCGGCTACATGTTTTGACACATATTGAGCTGATACAACACCTTTCGATTGGCAGTTTTCTTTTCAATCTACCTCACACATATCTTGTTACTTCAAGGAACCTTCAAAGACACACAATGCGTACCTCCTTCCTATTTCTCTACGCGGTATCAGTTGCCTCCGCCCTAACACAGGTGTGTGATGAGAGCTGTCCAAACCCATGCCGACAGGCCATCACGAACACCTACTGCACTGGAGCCCGAAACGCCATTTTTGGGACGCCTCAACCTGCAAGATTCAAGAACCAATGGAACTGCCCCGCCGGCGGAAGCTCGCCTCAAGGAGCATACATCCAGATGACAGAAGATGGAGCTGCAGAGGGTGGGGTCACCGTCTACTGTGTCATGTGAAGACTTACGTCGATTCCGGAATTTGGATAGCTGGCACCTCTAAGGCTGAGATCGAGATGCAAAAGACCGGAACTTTAGAATGTTCGTCCGCCTCAAAAGCTGGGATGGACTACATTGGTGTGCGGTCGTGTAGAGTAAGCGCTGGCAAAAGAGATGCGATTAAATAAACAATTTCATTTCAACGTGATGCATGACAGCTGGGCTGCACCAGACTCATCTCCAGTAGCAGGGTACCAACTACACGTTCTCTTTTATGCCCATGATTTTCGCAGTTCGTACTTGATGCCTTCATTGCCCTTGTGATTGCACTGGTCGACAACGTTCTCACTACGTCTCTATGCTATAGAGAAGTTAAGCATTTTGTGAAGAATTGTGGCCATTTGAATAGCAAAAGCATTCTCAGAATTAATTTGGAATTTTGGCTATCGATCCCCTAAAATCCTATCATCATTCTAGCCTAGCCTTCTTCAGTAGGAAATCAAGAACGCCGTCACCTACGAAGTGGCTGTAATAGACGGAATTCGCAGCTGTCACCTCCATCAACTCATACCCCAGAGCCTCGAGCCCATAACAATACTCTACCATCTCCCTATCCTTTTGGGGGTCAAAAGCGCTGCCTAAGCGGAAGGGCCACGCATCCTTACGGGGTTGCCACTCAATGGTAAGAAAGCTTCCAGGGCTCGCCTGGGGATTCCAGCGGGCTTTCTCTTCAACGATACTCTCTGCCTCGTTCAACGACTCCTCCCAAGCGGCCACCTCGACCTCATAATTGTCGTTATCGTCCAAGCGGTTAATAGCAAAGATCTTCCGCGCATACTGCCATTCCATAACAGGTCCAGGCAAAAAACACGAGACTGCCTCACCATAATCAAGCATCAACATACGGCTGCAGACCTCCTTCTCATGGTGACGTGCGCAGATTTCCGCACGTTCGGCGTCTGTTAATGATAGAGACAAGGGAAGTGTGATCACTTCAATTCGGTCTGGTCTGGAGTCTCGACGTTGGCGGTACTGAGAGGTACGATCAAAGACAGCGCGTGCTAGGCGAGCGCTGCGGGCAGGATGAGCGTTATGTGTCGTGTCGTAAATGGCGATGCCCAACGGAGGGCGCAGAGGTCGGACTGCGGTTTCGGAGTTTTCTGGGGGTATGTTCAAAGACTGAGTACGCAGCGAAGGTTGGGGCGCCGTCATGGCTGGGTGCAGAGTGGACGACGGTCTTTGGTGGAAATGGATTGCAGCAGTATCCCGCTTCCACACCCTCGGAATGGTCGTAGATTCCTTCTTCTTCATTGACGTAACGAGAACACTGCGGATCCTGTGTCTCCAAAGGATAGCCATAGTCCCCTGGTCGCGGGCAGAACTGGCACATCGTGTGAACGGTTTCTGAGTGATGGGCAGTTTGGATTGATAATTTAGTTTGCTTCTTGAGGCTTTTAAGAGGGATTTTATGAGAAAAGGGAAAAAAACATGTTTGACGGGCAGAAGAGGCCATTCACGAGTGCTACCTATTCGTACCGAACGTCTCGCCCCGCCTTTACTAGGCAGCACACCTCCAGAGTGGGTTTACCGTCGGCTGTTGGTGGATCTACTGGTCAAAACGGCGGCACAGTCGTTGATACGCAGCGGTGAAGGATGCTGCGCCTTGGCAAAATCAAATAAGACGTTCACGCCATATTGAATCGTTCATCCTGACAACGACCTTCCCGATGTTATGATGGTCTTTAAAGGCCTTCATTCGAAACGGAACTTCCTCCAGGCAGGCTTCTACCACAAGAGGCCGCAGCTTGCCCTCTCTGATGTACTCCATAACCTCATAACTCTCATCCCATCCACCCATCAGGAGACCCTGGAATTTAATCGAACGTTCCACCATCAAAGCCAAGGGTATGGTCAAGTTTCCTCTTGATTTCGGTACCCTGGTCACAGTTAGAGTTTCACATGCATATTGGTGAGTAGTGTCTTACCCGACGCATATGACTGAGCCTCCATCGCAAACGTAATCGATCAGTCCTTCGAAGGCCGTTTCGCAACCTGATGTAACAATCAGATAATCGGCGTTCCGCCGAGCCTCTTTGGCATTACGTAGTCTTTGGCACGCGTCGGAAATGCTCCTTTGGAACTCGTCCCAGTCAATCGCCTGGTCGGGGGCGGCAATGAATTCGTCAAAGGTATCGGCAGCTCTCGAGCCCAACGCTTCAGCCTTCCACGCCAGATCGATACCAATAACTTTAGCTTTGAAAACATTGCGGGCCATCATTCCGGCTAAATGTCCAATCCCGCCGCAAACCCCACTGACAATGACCAAATCGCCCAGGGAAGGATTCGCAGACTTCAAAGCCCTGAGTGCCGCGGCCCCGGAACATGGAGCGGTGGTGTACATCCCAGGACGGATACCCATCCCTTCATCGAAAACGAAATTTGGTAGCGGCATGAGGGAAGTATAAGGTGCTGTTAGGTATTGCTGAAACGTGCCGCTGTGGTGGCGAGGGAAGGTTGTCTGCTCCTGACAGGATTCGGGGATGCCGTGCGAACAATAGTAGCAAGATCGGCAGTAGGAGGCCAGATATCTCGCCGCAACTGGTTTGCCTAGAAGTGATTGATCGAAGCTCATGACTACGTGCCCGATACCTTCGTGGCCAGCGATATGATTAGGTCCCCGGAGGCCGTCTTCAGGGCCGAGTGAGAACAGTACATCCTGTGAATGTGTTGCTTTAGCAATTCGCTCACTTGGATCCCAAGAAGACCGCTTACGCTGCCGCAAATGCCTGTCCAAGCTATTTTGACAACAACTTCGCCAGGCCCTGGGGGTCGCACAGGGATTGATTGGACCTCTTGGTTGAGGCTCGGGCCCAACTTTGGTGTAACGATTGCTGTCTGCACTGAGGGTATACTGATGCCACGCAAAGTGTACGGGGACTGTGACAACGGGCTGGCATCCAACATCTCAGGCCTAGAGGCTATCGAAATGTCACTGGATGACACTTTCTCTGACAACTGAAGCTTCTCTCCATGAGATTCTCTCATCATCGTTGCGGTCTTGCTTGTCCATCAGCTAAAGGCAACGATGTTAGTTTCTGATGTTCGAGCTGCCTAAGCATCTGAGTGCCAGGAGTCTAAACAATAATTGAATGGCCTTTGCCCGAGATCCCTTAGTTTGGGTAGCACCCTTACAAGAATATTGCGACAATTGACGAAGCGGAATACATATTCCTCCCACTGCCTTATCAACGGCAGGTCCCTCCCTGTATTTCCGGCACCGACCGGCATCTCTCCCGGTATCGGCGCTCCAAGCACAAATTTACGATTGAAACTTGATAACAGTCGAATGTTCATGTGGAGGTTCGCGATATGTTTTCCGCACTTGCATATCCAAGATCTTTGGTGTATGCATTGAAAGCGTCGGAGGGTCGAGATCGCTCCAATAGAAAGATCCAATGGTAAGTAAGCCTGCAAGCCGCCAATGGCTCCGCATAACCTGATTTGGCAACTTTCCATTCTAAGACTTGCCAAATCTGAGCAGGGCAGGAAACAAGTCGTCAACCATCGGGTCATCTAAGCACGTCAACCCAAGACACTTCGCTTTTAGATCCATGGATGATGACGAATAATCTGGACTGTTTTGAGTGGTACCTCTGCAACATGAATGCTGAGGAATATAAATTCCGCCGTGGTCACTACCAGAGTGCTACGTCAGTTAGACACTACGAGTAGTGACTAGCCAGAATATAAGCAAATGTCCGCTTGATGAAATATTCGCAAATCATTCTAGGCAAACAAGTACAGTCGCAAATCATCAATTGCCACAACCAATCAAGATGTCTCACTTGACCTACTACACGTACCAAGGCTTCGGGTCAGACAACCTCAAGTCACATGCGTACAATCAAGCTGTGCGCATGGAAAATCAAATCTTCATTTCTGGTCAAGGTATTTCGCTCACTTTTGCTCCGTTCTGTATCTCTTAAATCCAACCTTGTTTGCCACTAAATCGCGAGACATCTTATAACTCACTTCAAAAGGTGGCCACGACAGAGTCACTGGCAAACATTCTAGGGATATCGACGAGCACATTGACCAAGCATTCGAAAACGTCGACTTTGTCTTGAGAGATGCTGGTGGGAAGGGCTGGGAGCAGGTCTTCATCGTGAGGTCATACCACATTCACCTCACCGATGAGGCACAGGCAGCAATGGTCAGAAACTTCAAAAAATGGATGCCAAACCATAAGGCGCTTTGGACCTGTGTGGGGGTTACGAGACTAGGGTCGGGTGGCATGCAGGTCGAAATTGAGGTCGTAGCTCACGACCCTGAAGGGGCTGCGGCAGCAAAAGCAAAGGAACAAGCTTGAAGGATGATCACTCTTCTCGAACAAAGAGGCTGAAACGTCGAGACATTGGTCAGAATACAACATCATCATGTGGAAGGACAATTGATATATTTAACTTTTATAACCTATGCTCACATCTGGGTTGAAAATGCGGTTGATTACTGCTTGGTCTCGTAGCTGATCAGTCCGTCTATGGTTCCCGCGTGCAAGCCACCAGTGATCGCAATATCAGTTGCTGTGGTATGTCTCGCGGCGTCACTGAGAAGATAAATCACAGCGCCCGTCAAGTCATTTTGCGTGCTCAGACGCTGGTTAGGAGGCGCCAGCCACATCTGCTCTCCTTCTCGCTTGCTTTTCAGCCCTCGTACCTTGCGCGTCATTTCCGAGTCGACAAACCCGGGGGAGATGGTGTTGACGCGAATTTGGTGAGGCGCCAACTCAACAGCCAACGCCTTAGACAGCATGAACACCGCTCCCTTTGAGGCGTTGTATGCCGCCATACGGTAGCCAGGCAGGCCGATGTGCGCAGACTGAGAAGCCAGGAGGACCATGCTACCTCCAGTACCCTGCTTCACCATTTGCGCTGCCACGAGCTGAGCTACGAAGAAAGTTCCGCGAACCTGTTGGAACCATTAGCGATGATGATCCTCACACGGAAGCAATGACTAACGTTGATTTCTTGAATGCGATTGAACTCATCCCATGTTTGCTCAAGGAACGGCTTATCAATGGCGATACCAGCAGCTGGCACGCATCCGTCGATGGTGCCAAACTCACTCAACGCCTTATCAAAGGCAGCTTTGATACTCTCCTGAGATGTGACGTCGGTCTGGATATAGACAGCCTTCGTAGAGAACTTGGCGGTCAAAGTGCCAAACTCTTCAACTGGCTTCTCCTGGATATCAAGCACCGCGACATTACCGCCCATCTCACAGATGGCGCGAGTGCAGGCAAATCCAATACCCTGCGCTCCGCCTGTTACGATGTAATTGCGACCGCGCAGCTCAAACATCGGCCGCACATCGTCAAGGGGGTCAGAAGGAGGCATCTTCGGGGTTGTCGGAGGCGTGAGGTATGCTGGTTGGATATGATAGAATACCGTATTGGATGAGTGTTCCTGGTAAGAGAAAACGAGAGACATATCCGAATCTCTTTCGACGTCACAAATGCGATCTGTTTCTTATCGTGGTTTTTGGGGTTATGGTTCAGGAACTAGTTCCGACCTTCGGAAAGTGGGTCCCGGGCCCCGCTGCCGGGGGTCTACGGAAGCTCCGAAACTATTAGATCTGACCCGCATCACATTGCGACGATGACCGAGACAGGTCGGCAACACCAAGAGAGTAAACAAGATAAGATAATCGGTCGCGATGAATGTTTCTGATTTGATCATGCACGCATTATAGCATTGAAGCTGCTGTTAGGCTCTGTTATCGTTACCAATCATGGCATCCCACGCGCCCGCTGCATGCTGCACAGCCGGCAAACTACACGAGTACGCATTCACACATGAGGCCATATTTTGTAGCTTAAATCGAATCTAACTTATTGCAGAGGTACCCCTGAGGGTAGCCTGATCCAGATTGACGGCAACATCGAAGCGTATCTGGCGATACCAACATCTCAGCAGACGCCCGCGCGAGCAGTACTGTATCTGCCGGACATCATCGGCATATGGCAGAACAGCAAGCTCATGGCTGATGAGTTTGCACGCCATGGCTACGTCTGTCTTGTTCTCGACACTTTCAACCGTGATCCCTGTCCATTAAACATGCCTGCGGACTTCGATATCATGAAGTGGCTGCAAGAAGGATCCGACGGCCAGAATCCGCATACGACAGAGACCATTGACCCGATAGTCCAGGCCGCAATCAAGTATCTGAAAGGCATGGGCATCGAACAGATTGGGGCAGCAGGGTACTGCTTCGGCGCAAAAGTGAGTTCCTAGTCTTACAGCACTGCCGTTGTCAGTCACGGGTTACTAAAGAAGACTTCAGTACGCTGTGCGCCACTATCAAAGCGGCATTCAGTGTGGTTTCATTGCTCACCCCTCATTTGTGGACTCAGATGAGTTGGCTGCCATTACTGGGCCGTTGTCCATTGCTGCGGCTGAGTTCGACGACATATTCCCCGCAGAGAAGCGCCACGAAAGTGAAGCGATACTGGCGAAGACAGGAAAGGACTACCAAATCACTCTGTTCTCTGGAGTCTCCCATGGTTTCTCTGTTCGTGGTGACGTGAAGGATGAGAAGCAGCGGTTTGCAAAGGAGCAGGCCTTTTACCAGGCGATTACTTGGTTTGACAGATACTTCAAGACCAACTAGACCTTCCTAGTCTTGTCGAGATGCAACAACTGATTGCATAATTGTGTATAAGTGGACCTAAAATAGACTAGGCGTTTATAATCAATCGTCAAGGATCCATATGCATTGAATGCAGCGGGGTCTGTACTACAAGCTTGGGTTATTGTTCTACACTCAAGAGTCTTTATGAGGCCGTGCAACTCAAATGTGTACCTCTCATTTGTTGCTTGTAGTACCTTTTGCAGTTAAGCACTTGTCAAAGCAAAAGGGAGTGGCGGAGGATCTGGAAAATGAGTGGGTATCAATCATGACCATTCGTCACTGGAACTAAAATATACTCTCTGACAGTACTGTACTCGCGTCACCGCCAGTCGTCCAATCAATCCCCAACAACCCATCCCACCCGGATTCCGTATTATTAACACTTGAAATCCCAGCCAACGTGCCTGCAACTTCAGACTCCACAGCCACATCGGCACCAAGACGTGATGGATGATCCGTGCTGAACTGAGCCACCTGCGAACCTGTTCGGCAGTTTCTTGGTCTCTCAAGCATCCCCAAGCCGGTTAGACTTTCTCTAACTTCGGATAACTTCTCAGCCAACCCCTGGGATGCTCTTGAGATCTTCGCGTACCCAGTTGCCAGGGCGACAGCCATCTCGTAGCTTCGGCCCATAGCTCCAGCAACCTCTGTAGAGAGAGTAGCCAGCACAGCTGACCTGTTGTGTTCAAGGAATGATGTAAGCACGAAGCCCAGCCCTGATGCGGATGCGAGAAGAGGCTGATAGAACGGTTGTTGTTTGCGGTAGATGTCCGTTGTCGTGTTCAGATTGTAAAGAACGTTGCAAACGTCGAATAACACTTCAATGGCGGGTCGGAGGTACTGCTTGCTGGTTTGTACGTCGGCTTTTGAGAAGAAATGTGGTTTAAATAGGAGACTTCGAACAGACTCGGCCCGGAGATTCAAGAGAATCTTCCATGTTGGAGGCTGGCTTAGAGGATCACTGTGCCAGAGTTGAATTATGGACGGGTCCGCAACCGCCCTCTTCCGCCATTGTTCGATTCGGAAGTTCATGACCTCAAAAGCTTCCTCGTCGTCGTATCGTTGTGACTTTGTAGCTTGGGAAATAGGGTCGCTGAACTTGTCGCTGAGCTTGATGAATGTGAGCATGGCCTCGAGATATGGAAGTTTAATCTGGTAAAACGATGTCAGCAAGGTCGCGTTTCGACTACAAAATGTTGTCGCAAATGGCCTTACAGAAGAAGTGTTGATGGGCCCGAAAGCACTCTCCTGGAAATTTCTCGGGAGACCTGCAGCAGCACTCCATTGGCGGTCGAGAATGACGATGCTCGACATAAGAGCCCATACTTCTGTACGTTGAGCCCGTGAATCGAGCATGTCTTCCGACATGACGCCGTTGTGGAACCCAAGTTCCATCAACATGCGCCCTGCAGTTCCACACATGCGCCATGCAGATTGCGGCGTATCGTTGAAGAAATCATAAGCGCCCTGGCCCACTTGTGAGAAATCATGTCATGTGTGAAATCGCAATGCATCTAAATACCTTGAGCAAGACTATGATTACTCCAGTCATAGTAGACCTCAGGGCGGCAAGTTTGCTGCTGATAGCAGGCTGGATACTCTCTCGGATAATGGCTTCACTTTCGTGTTTTGAAGGTGTCGCATCGGCATGAAGGCCTATCAACAAAGCCAGATTCAGAATCAACAGGTCGTCTTCGGAAGCGACCTCGACGGGCTCGGTGAAGAACTCCCACGTCGTCGAGTCTCCATCGGTATAGCAATTACGAGCGCGCGTCTGAACCTCATCGATGTCGACAATGGGGTGAAGATCGCCGATTACTTCCTGATATACCCCTAATAGTCTCCTGGCATCTTTCAGGCTCATCAGCCCTCGGAACTTGAGAAGAGCTGAGGAATTGCAGGCGGGTGTTTGGGTCTGGACGGCAGAAGCTTTGTCTTGGGTAAAGACCACTTCATTGAACTCGATATCTGAGGTAACCTTTAGATGTGGTGGGTGTCGTGATTGCGTGGCAGAAAAGCTGCCCCTCGGTGGTTCGGCTTGCGATTGCGATGATGCATTGAGGCTATTATCTGGGCTAGGCAATCCGTATATCGGCCGGGGCGGAGTTTGCCAATTCTGCTCTATTGCACCCACATAGTCCCCAATAGCGGTCGCGTCGTTCATAAGAGTTGACAAGAAGTCTTCGTTGTTGCAATCGGTCGCCTCAAAGGTGGGTTCGGGTGGGCTCTGGCTCGACGTTTGAACTCGAGACGCTAGGCTGTTCAGCTGGCCTTGAAGACTGGAGAGGATCTCCATAATTGCGTCTTGGTTATTGCTAGACGCGCCGCAACAGTCAGCGAAAGCGATGGAGAATATGGTATTTATGACAGACCATGAGGAAGACGGAGAGGAACTGGTTCGCTTCTCCTGACGTTGGATCGTTTCGACGACTGCTTGGGGCCACTCCTCTGCTCCAAGGAAGCTATCGTAACTGCACGCCTGATCGCGACCAGCGCAATATTTGCAAGGTTGCCGACCATCGCATTTTCCCTTGCGCCGGCGACAAGCATCGCAGGCCCGCAAAGCGTAGGGTGCTCGTCGCTTGCCCGACTCTCCGTTCGAGTTGCCTGGCCGCTTTGCCACGCGTGCCTCCCTTATCTGCGACATTTATTGTGTCCTCGTTCTGTTCTTATCGGGGTCCGGGCGGTATCGTCAGTAGGAAGGGCGCGCTGCTTGAAGGTCTACGTTGGACAAGAATGATTGGCAATGTGTGCAGTTACAGCTGCATTGGCATGCAGGTCGCACAAATCGACGTTGGAAAGATCACAAAGACAGGGCAGATGACCACGCATGCAAAATGACGAGAAACACGTAGATGGGTATGGGGCGTTATCTTTTCGAAGGCGAACATTGGACGGCGACCATTCCCCAGACCCGCACCGGCTGCCGGGAACCCCTTTCCGGGGTGCAGATAAGGGTCAAGGCGGTTTCTACGAAGGTTTCTCCTTATCCTGATAGAGGGCCTTATCATGCTGAGAATGCGGGGGAAACATGCTTGACCCTTGTCCGAAAGGGCTAAATCAATTGTCGGCCGGGTACCTCCTCAGCTAACGGTGCACTACCCGATGCCTCCCTCTATCTTTTGCGTACCTGGTAGCTGAACATGCTATTTGAAGCTACCGAATTCCGGTCCCTCATCTTCGCCGCAGTTTCAGCTCCCGTCACAGGCACTCTGTACTCCAAGGCCGTGCCAGGCGGTTGGCCCTCGACAGCATGAGGAAAGGGAAGGTATTCAGGCATCAAGTCCATCTGCACGAGAACAGTTCCTTGATCCCATGAAATATGTTCATGATAGAGCCGGTCCCCGCGGATGTTTACCACTGCTGTGAATGGGACCTCCACATACTTGAATGTGGGTGGAATTCCGGGGACGCTAGACACAAGCTTTGTTTAGCGCCCACATCGCGTTAGATAAACCCCAGTCACAGATGATCACTTACAGCCAATCCACGATTTTGTTATGCGTGAACTTGTAGATGAATTCGTCAACAATGCGGTCGACGCCAATTGTTCGGCTAATGAGTTCCAGTTCCGTGTCATCCGAGTTGCTGAAGATGAAGTTGTTCCGGTAGAACTGAGTCAAGGGCGCGCGTCCAATCCCGCCAGTCAACTGCGTGCTTTGGTCGACTGTTTAGGTCCCTGCATAGCGTTCGCGGCGTATTTACTTACAGTAGGCACATGATTCACATAAGGTTGATCTACCATGGTACTCATCGTATGCTCAACCGAGCGATCCGCAAATTCGTAGTATGTGTGCTCGTCCCAGATACTTTCTAGGTCGAAATATGGGCCGTTCATGAGTGGCTTGAGAAACGTCAAGTTCCTCGTATGCGACAGCGACTCTGCCCAATAGTCGAAGTCATCTTGGAATGGTGTTGCAAAGCGAAAGGACTTCGCTTTCGCATATCTGTAAGTTGTGACACCAGCCGCCCTGCCCGTTACAGATATAGGCTGCCCTGCCACATGACGCTGTACAGGAATTTCAGCCTTTCTCAGGTCTTCTTCATCTGATGGATTGGCGTACACGACACCGCCGACAATGGTGGGAAAGTTGCTCAAGACATCCGCAACCGCATTCCACAGCGTTGAATCGTATGCTATTAGCCAATCGACTTAGTCTTTCATCTGGTGCGGTGGCCATTGTTGGAGCTCACCAATGATTCCAAAACGACTCTGCGATTCCAATTTGTCGCAACTCTGCATCGCCTCAAGAGCGTATCTCATGACTTCTGGAACATCGCCGCCATGGGAGATTGCCTGCGCTTGAATACCGACCACCACATAACCTTCCTCGGCCCATTTTACAAGTGCCGATGGAACGCCATCGATGATGTCCAGGTGCTTGGAGGAGTCTTGCTGCAGAATTATGAGGCCGGGTCCATGGCCTCGCCGTGAAAGTGGCGACAGCAGGATGATGCCTTCACGAAGCTGCTGTGGCCGCGCTTGCGGCAGCGATGCCGGAGGTTTGCTGATGTCTGCGTACATGTTTGGCTCTATTCGATTTCTTTGTTGGCAATTCGTTGGTAGAACCTTGATTACACTTGTCAAACTGTTGCTCTTATCTAGTAGCTATGAAGCAAATGCAAATTATCTTATCTACGTGTCAAAGACTCCTTTACAACTTGAATTAAGGATGTTCCGAGGAGCATACATGGGCAAAGTTTTGTGTTTGGCATAGCTCCCATTAAATTCCCATGGGTAGTCGTCGCAGCTACATCCGGAGTGGCTGCGAGACGCATAGGACCGGGGTCCGTTCCGTTCCGATCGGAAGTTCCGTGATAAGGTCCGTTCCCCACCCGACTACGGTGCACCATTAGGACATGTCCGCCAACCCCCAAATCTACTAATCCACTAATCCACAAATCTCACCGCTAAGCAGCATAAACATCCCTAATTAGCTTAAATCCCTAAATCCATAAATCCATAAATCTCTTAATCTCAGAATCCATAAATGTTAGAATTTATTTACAATTATATATAATTATATATAGTTATATATAATTATAACTATTAGTTTAATCTTCTTAATTATATAGCCCTATACTTCCAGACTATTATTATACTGCTTCCTCCTTATAATCTAACTTTACCCTACTTAATAATATTAATAAGTATACTATATAAATTTACTACTCTTAGTTTATAGTTATAGGGGCGTTTATTAATTTAAAGCCTTAATAACTAGTAATTAGTAAGTTTCACAATAATAGTACTACCCTTATTAAGATATAGGAATATCTTATAATAAAGGGGGTTAAAATAAGTAATTAGACTATTAAATAAAGGCTTATAGAATAGGGATATCACTACCTCCTAGTTATTAGAGTAGAAGATAAAGAGAATATACTTCTCACTATTAAGTACTTCTACTATAAATAGATAACTTTAGATAAGTAGATCTTATAATAGCTTAAAGTTTATAGCTATAGTAAGTTCTCTTTTAACTAGTTAAAAAAGATATAATATTTAAATAAGATAAAGAGAAGATATTAGAACTATTATAAGAGGTAATAAATAGAGTAAACTACTATCTAATTTATATATAATAATCTAACGAAAATACTAACTATTCTAAACTTTAGTTATAGTTATCTATATTAATATATTTAGTTTAAAGCTAATATTATAGTTAGAAAGAATTAGATCTATAGCTACTATAAGGATATATTTCTAAATAAAGTTACTACTTAATAAAAAGGGAATTAGTGATATTATATAGATTTTAAAGTTCCTAAACTTAATTTCCTCTAAGTAATAGATAGATATAAGAAACTAAAGAAGTTTAGATTTTAGATCTATACCTATATTAATACTTACTTAAGATATATTATATAGATCTATATTAGATATTTAGTAACTACTATAATAAGTGTTCTTAAGTAATACCTATATACAATTAAGAAGAATAGAACTAAGCTATTTATTATAAGAGTAGACTATAATAGTAAAACGCCCCTCTTTATTAATACTTAAGCTTTACTTATAGAAGCTAACTAGATAGAAGTTATCTATATTAATAAAAATAGTATTTATTAGACCTATTAATAAAGTAACTAAATATTATCTTATTATATCTAAATGCTTAGTATTAGGAATATAAGGATTAAGCTATAGTAGAGGCTTTTATAGTTAGGTATAACTAATTAATAGATTATAAGTCCCTCTCTTAAACTAAAAAGAAGATCTTATCCTTAATGCTATACTAGCGCTTTATAGTAGAGTTAATAAACTCTAAAAACTTTATCTAAGATAATATTATCTATCTTATTATAGTTTATACTATATTTATAAAAATACTATAAGATAAAGTTACTAACTTTATGAAAACCTAAAATAACTATTAAATATAGAATTAGTAGAAAACCTACTACTATATCCTAAAAGGTTCCCTAATTTAACTTTATACCTTAAAAAAGGTATTTAACTAAGTAGTACTTATTAAGTAAAGCTCTAAAGCTAGTAAGCTAGTTAATAAAATACTTAAACCCCTTAATAGGGTTAATATTAACGAATTCCTCCTACTAAACACTAAAGTGTAGTGTTAATAGTAGCTTATAGAACTAGGCTTTAATTTAGCGTTACTTATAGGCTATAAAGATTAAGTATAACCTCATATTAATATATACTATAAGCTATAGGATAAGGTTAATATATATATATAATTAGGAGCGCTACTGCAACTTAGTATAATTAAATAGCTAGTTAGTAGAACTAAAAGATATATAAGTTATAATATTATAATCTAAATTATAAGAGAAGTCCTAACTGAAAATATATAGCTTAAACTACTCTATTAAAATAACTATTATACTATAAGAGAATAGAACCTTTAAGGTAACTACTTAAGATAAAATAAACTAAGCGTATTAAATATTATAGATAATAGCTAATAGAGCAGCTAATTAGTTTCTTACCTTCTTCTGTTTAGGATTTATATATAAGCTATAACCCTAAGCTCTTTTCTAAGATATAATAAGCTATTTATTATACACCTCTTAATCTTAAATATCAATATAAAAAAGGTTATCTAAAGTACTTAAAACGCCTAAAGTGCTTAAAACGCCTAAAGTACCTAAAACGCTAAAAATATTAAATAGGTCTATAATACTTAATTTATCTAAAGTGCTTGAAATATTAGTAGTAATCTCTAATAGAGTGGGAAGGGATATATAAGAAGAGGATAGTAGAGAAATTAGTAGTAAAACTTCTAAAGTAACTTTAGTATAAGCCTTAGGTTATTAGTTAATTAGGAACTCTTCCTCTTCTAGTATAAACTCTATTTATATATAATAGTACTTTATAAACTTTTTAGGACTCTAGTGTTCTATATCTGAGGAATAGAAGGTGCTAATATTAATAATATTATTCTCTTCTTTTACCTATATATTAATAGACTTCTACCTCTCCTACTAAGAAGTAGATAATTACTTTAGCTAATAGGGAGTTAAAGATCTCTTTAGCTAATAGGGAGTAGAGGAGCGCTTTATTAAGTATAGAGGAGAGAGTTTATATTAATATAAAGATAAGGAAGATTCTTTAGCTATAAAGCTTAGAATATTTAAATAGTAGAAGTAGATAGGAACTAATATAGTTCTACTATTCTTTAGCTTTATTTAGGGAATATACTTTTAAGTAAAGAGACTTAATATTATTAGTTCTTCTCTATATATAACGCTTATAACTATTAGTCCTTTAGTTTCTTTAATAATCTAATAGATAGAGAACTTCTAATATTTATTAAAAATCTTATAATATTTATTATTAACCTAAGGTCTAATTATATTAAAGACCTAGTCTTTTATAAGCTATAGGGAATAAGTTATAAGGTTAAATAGGTCTAAAGTGATTTATTCTAGAAGTTTCTTAGTATATCTATACTAAAATAAAGATAATAGATTTATAAAGCTCTATAGATAATTTATAGACTAGAAACTTATTCTTAACTTCTATATAATAATAGCTAATCTAGAGGATAATAATAATATAGATAAGATTTAGATCCTTAAGCGTATTTAACTGCTCTATTTTCTAGCTAAAAGCTTAAGAGGATACTATTATAGCTTAGCTAATCTATTACTTTTAATAATAGTTCTTTAGGTTAGATATTTAGTCCTAATAAATAGCCTTTATAATAGTTAGTATTAGGGCTATAACTAAGGCTAAATATATTTAGATATACTAGAAAGCGCTATTATACCTAAGGGGTAATTAAGGATTACTATTTACTATATTAATATATTAAGCTAATAGATTTACTAAGTAGATAGGTGATTTATAAGCTTTAGTAGAAGATAGCTGATTTAAGGGTAGAGGCTGAGGTAGTAGATAATTCTCCTTATTAGTAAGCTAGTTAATAACTAAAGGCTTAAGTACTAAGCAAACACTATAATAAGGGTAAAACTAAGCTATTATAAAGTCTTCTTAAATTAAGTAGTAAAATTAATATAAGGGGTGCTTAGTATATTATATAGTAGTTATATAGTATACTATACTGAGGCTATAGAATAAAGAAGAGGTGTAATATCTCTATAATAAGGGTAGAGGTCCTATATATTATATAGAGTAGGAGCTTTATTATATTAGAGGTATTATAAACTAGAGGTAAAGGTATATATTTACTATAAGCTAGAAACTATTATCTAAGATAGTATCTTAAGCTAATTTACTATAGTATAGATATATAATAATAGATTAGCTGAAATATAAGGCTAGTCTTACTTATACTTACTATCTTATTTAGCTAGAGATATTATTATTTCAGAGCACTATAAGCCCCTCTTAGCGTTATAGTTTATATAGTAATAAAGTATAAGTTTACCTTTAAGGTTTAATAGATAGCTTTTTTTTATTAATCTAACTATAGCTTAACCTCTAAGTAATTACTTAAAATTACCTATAATTATAAGTAATTATAAGTAATCTTTTTAGCGCTTACCTTATTTTAGTAAAGCTTAGCTAGTAATACTATCTTTCTACTTATATAAAGTAAGCGCTCTATAGTAGTTTCTATAGAAACTGCCTAATAGCTACTTATTACTATTATAAGCGCACTTATTAGTGCTAGATAGGCTAGGATAAGGCAGCTGCTTATTGCTATCATAAGTGCTCTCCTACTATAAAGAACTCTAGGAGGAGGTATTATCCCTAAGCCTCTACCTCTCATAAGGCTATCATAGCAGTCTACTTATAATATTTAGCATATATAGGCTACTTAGAGGGGATTTATTTAAAGTTATAAGGTTACTTATAGTATTTAGCGCGTATAAGCTGCTTAGAGGGGATTTATCTAGAGTTATAAGGTTGCTTATAGTGTTTAGCACGTATAAGCTACTTAGAGGGGATTTATTAATATACTTAATATTCTTAACTATAAGATTAATAATAGGATATTTATTAAAGAGCTAAATATACTCTTAAAAGTGATTATATAGGCGACAGAATATACCTATAGAGCTCTTATAAGCTAGTAGCACATAAAGAGCTTT